AACGATGAGTTTATGCTGGTACATCTGATTCCAGTTCAATACCACAAGGTTCATTTTAGCTTTCTTTTCTTATTTATAACTTCTTTCTCCAACAGTGAAAAGCCCAGATACTACCTATTTACTTAATTCCTTAAAAATGTATGTGTGTGTTGTTGTTTTGTTTTTCTGGAAAAGTTTTTTCTCAGGAACCTATAGGATGTGTGCACAGAATGGCCTCCAGCTCCATGCCAGAGGTAGCTGATCACAGCAACTGCATTGATTCTTCACTTTCTGCCTCCTGAACCCCATTCGGATATCCCTCAGTCACCTTCTTACAAACTAAATGAAACTGGAGTTCTCTATCGCCCAACCCAACAGCTAGAAGCTTAGGGCCAAGGTGGGGTAATTGGAACCTAATATAAATTCTTGCTTTCCAAGCAGACCAAAAGGAAGCCCTCCTGAGTTGAAAATCTTTTCAAATATGACCTAAGAGTTTTTGTTTTTTTGTTTGTTTTGAGACAGAATCTCGCTCTGTCATCCAGGCTGGAGTGCAATGGCACGATCTTGGCTCACTGCAACCTCTGCCTCCCAGGTTCAAGCGATTCTCCTGCCTCAGCCTCTGGAGTACCTGAGACTACAAGCGTGTACCACCACCCTGGCGAATTTATTTGTATTTTTAGTAGACAGGGTTTCACCATGTCGGCCAGGCTGGTCTCAAACTCCTGACCTTGAATGATCCTCCCACCTCAGCCTCCCAGAGTGATGGGATTACAGGTGTAAGCCACTGCCCCGGCCCTAAAGTTCCTTGAATTGGTTATTGACCATATGGAATTCACTTTGAGTCCTAGCTGATTCTAATGGGAGTGGGGGTTGTTTGTTTTTAATTTAAATTGTTTTTTGTTTTTTTTTTGAGACAAGGTCTCACTTTGTTGCCCAGTAATGTGATCACAGCTCACTGAAGCCTTAATCTTCAGGCTCAAGGGATCCTCCTGCCACAGCCTCCTGAGTCGCTAGAACTACAGGTGAATACCCCCATGCCTGGCTACCTTTTTTTCTTTCTTTTTATTTTTGTTGTTGTTGTTGTTTTGTTTTGTTTTTTCTTTTTTATTGCATTTTAGGTTTTGGGGTACATGTGAAGAACATGTAAGATTGTTGCATAGGTACACACATGGCAGTGTGATTTGCTGCCTTCCTCCCCATCACCTATATCTGGCATTTCTCCCCATGCTATCTCTCCCCAACTCCCCACCCCCTGCTGTCCCTTCCCTATTTCCCCGAGACAGACCCCAGTGTGTGATGCTCCCCTCCCTGTGTCCATGTGTTCTCATTGTTCAACACCCGCCTATGAGTGAGAACATGTGGTATTTGATTTTTCTGTTCTTGTGTCAGTTTGCTGAGAATGATGGTTTCCAGGTTCATCCATGTCCCTACAAAGGACACGAACTCATCGTTTTTTGTGGCTGCATAGTATCCATGATGTATATGTGCCACATTTTCCCTGTCCAGTCTTATCATCGATGGGCATTTGGGTTGTTTCCAGGTCTTTGCTATTGTAAACTGTGCTGCAATGAACATTCGTGTGCATGTGTCCTTATGGTAGAATGATTTATAATCCTTTGGATATATACCCAGTAATGGGATTGCTGGGTCAAATGGAATTTCTATTTCTAGGTCCTTGAGGAATCGCCACACTGTCTTCCACAATGGTTGAACTAATTTACACAGTGTAAAAGATGGATTAAAGACTTAAACATAAGACCTAACACCATAAAAACCCTAGAAGAAAATCTAGGCAAAACCATTCAGGACATAGGCATAGGCAAGGACTTCATGACCAAAACACCAAAAGCATTGGCAATAAAAGCCAAAATAGACAAATGGGACCTAATCAAACTCCACAGCTTCTGCACAGCAAAAGAAACAGTCATTAGAGTGAATTGGCAACCAACAGAATGGGAAAAAATTTTTGCAATCTACCCATCTGACAAAGGGCTGATATCCAGAACCTACAAAGAACTAAAACAGATTTACAAGAAAAAAATAAGCCCATTCAAAGGTGGGCAAAGGATATGAACAGACACTTTGTAAAAGAAGACATACACGAGGCCAACAAACATATGAAAAAATGCTCATCATCACTGGTCATTAGAGAAAGGCAAATCAAATTGACATACCATCTCACACCAGTTAGAATGGCGATCATTTAAAAAATCTGGAGACAACAGATGCTGGAGAGGATGTGGAGAAATAGGAACACTTTTACACTGTTGGTGGGCCTGGCTAATTTTTAATTTTTTTCAGAGACTGTGATCTCACTATGTTCCCCGGGCTGGTCTCAAACTGCTGCCCCAAGTGTTGATATTATGGGCACGTGAGCAAGCATACTTGGCTCTAACGGGTGTTTCCATGCTCTTTCACTATGTCCCCCACTCAGACATTGATCATTTAAGCTTTTCAGTATCTCTACCAAATACTGATAGTAACGAATTCCTTCCTTGAACCCCTCACATATGGTACCTGTGAAAATCAACTGAGAGAATCAATGGGGAAGTGCTTTGAAAATGATGCATTGCTAAGTAAATTGAAGGACCCTGGGATGTGTCTGCAATGAGAGGGGTTGAACTCTGCATCTGGTAAATGGGAGCTTTCTGAGACTGCATTTACTGCTGTGACCACCCTAAGTTGGGAGGCAGAAATGTTTCAAGAATATAGGGAAGGTGAAGTTGCTATAGTGAATGGGGTGGTTAATGAAACAGTATGTGCTAAGAATCTCTTAAAACAAAAAGGTCAAAATGCTTTCATTATTGGGTGCTTTAAAAATATTATTGAAGCTGGGCGCAGTGGCGCACGCCTATAATTCCATCACTTTAGGAGGCTGAGGCAGGAGAACTGCTTGAGCCCAGGAGTTCAGACCAGCCTGGGCATCATAGTGAGACCTAGTCTCTACCCAAATAATAGTAATAACAAAAAATTAGCCACGCATGGTGGTGCCAGCTATGTTCCCAGCTACTCAGGAGGCTAAGGTGGTGGGATGATCCCTTGAGCCCAGGAGGTTGAGGCCGCAGTGAAAACTATGACAGTTGTGTGTGACAGAGCAAGATCCTGTCCCAAAAAAAGAAACAAAAATAGTTGTTCATTCATTCCTGTCTTACTAAGGGATGCAGAAATGAGAAGTTCCATCTCTGCCTGGATGAGGTGTAGATACACAGAGCAGAGAATACAATGATAGCTATCATTTCTTGAAGACCTACTGTGAGCCAAGGACACTGTTAGGGGCTTTCTACACATTATCTTAAGTGATCATCTTGAAGGTAGGAATTATCTTCAACAATAATGAGGAATTAACTATCAGAGCGGTAAAGGGAGTTTCCAAGGTCACACATGTAAATGTAAGAGTCGCATCTGCCTGAATGCCAAAGCTCACATTCACTCTTCCACACTAATAAGGTGAGAGTAATCCATTCCCTGAAAAAAAAAAAATTGAGTGCCTCTTCTGTTCCAGATATTGTTCTGAGTGCTAGTGATATAAAAGTGAAAATACAAAGTCCCTGTCTCATGGGGCTCATGCTATAGTAGAGAAAGACAACAAAAATGTAGTGTCAGATGGTGATAGATGCTGTGAAGAAAAATGAGGCAGAATAGGGGTTGGTTGGATTACTATTTTGACTAGAATGGTCAGGGAAGACTGATCCTATGAAGTCTGAGCACACCTACAAGACTGGCAAGAAACAGAACTGGCACAAAGCTTCCTTCTTTAACTACCTATGGGTTCAGTTTGGGAAAGAGGTGGCAGGATGGGAGTACAGGTGTTAATGGAAACTATATGCTCAAAGTCAGAAGGCCTGAGCATTAGTCCAGGTGATTTAATGGCAAGTCTTTTCACCTTTGAGCCTCAATTCCCTTTGCTATAGTGGGGAATAACAGTTCTTGCCCAGCTTCTCACACACAGCTGCCTTGAGGATCAGGTGAGATGACCCATGTGAAAGCCCTTTGAAAATAACACAAGTGGGGCCAGGTTCTGTGGCTCACACCTGTAATCCCAGAACTTTGGAAGGCCAAGGCAGGTGGATAGCTTGAGGTCTGAAGTTCGAGACCAGCATGGCCAACATGGTCTCTACTAAAAATACAAAAATTAGCTGAGCCTGGTGGCGTGCGCCTGAAATCCCAGCTACTCCAGAGGCTGAGGTGAGAGAATCGCTTGAACCTGGGCGTGGGGGAAGGGGGCAGAGGTTGCAGTTAGCCCAGATGGTGCCACTGCACTCCAGCTTGGACGACAGAGTGAGACCCCGTCTTATAAATAAATAAATAAAAACGAAGATAATACAAGCAAGACCGGAAGTCAACTCTATAAGCAAAGCGAAGTCTGTGAAGGAAAATAAAATGTATTCCTATCTCAGATGTAGCGGTTACCCAAAACATCTTTTTGAAAGGCCATCCAGGCTGAAAAAAGAAATAGACTAAACTAAATAAGCATAAGTTTCATAATACACCTCAGCTAAAGATTCTTCCCCCCCCCCCCCCCCCCCCCCCAGCTAAAGATTCTTGTGTAATTTACACCAGTCAGAAATTGTGGGCCGGGCACTGTGGCTCACGCCTGTAATCCCAGCACTTTGGGAGGCCGAGGCGGGAGGATCGCTGGAGGTCAGGAGTTTGAGACCAACCTGCCAACGAGATGAAACCCCGTCCCTACTAAAAATGCGAAAATTAGCTGGACATGCTGGCGGGCGCCTTAATCCCAGCTACTCAGAGGCTGAGGTAGGGGAATTGCTTGAACTCAGGACAGGAAGACTCAGTGAGCCGATATCGCGCCACTGCACTCCAGCCTGAGCGACAGAGCGAGACTCCGTCTCAAAAACAGACAACAACAACAACAACAACAAAAAAAAAACTGTGTCCTGTACTTCAACTAAACTAGGAAAGAAGTCCTGGGATTCGAATCTTTAACTCCAATCACCACGCCCCTTCACCCGAACTCTATTTCCCAACATGCCCCCAGGCTCCTATAAATTGGTAGTCATTATGACGCAATCTCACGGCCTTCTGGGAAGGGTAGTTTATTTGTTCTCCAGCTGGGGAAAGACTTAGGGCTGTAGACTACCCCTCCCGTGAGGTAGTACGTAACTCCACCCCGTTAGCGGCGTCTTCGAACGCGCCGCGGCAGCCATGTTGGACGTGGCCAGCACAGGGGCCGGCACCACGGGGTTATCGAAGCAGCTGTCACGATGCTGGGGTCCCTGGTGTTGAGGAGAAAACCACCGGCGCCACGGCTACTCCTCCGGCTACTCAGGTCCCCAGTGCTCCGGGGCCATGGAGGTGTTTTCGGTGGGAATGTGACCACTGGGGGTCTCGGGGAGCCTCAGTGGCTGAGGGCAGCCGCCGGGGGGCGCCCTGGAACATCGCCGGCCTTGTTCTCCGGACGCGGGGCAGCCACTGGGGGGCGCCATGGAGGACGCTTCGATACCAAATGCCTCGCGGCTGCCATCTGGGGACGCCTTCCTGGCCCCGAAGAAACACTCCCAGGACAGGACAGCTGGACCGAGGTCCCCAACAGGGCCGGACTGGGCATGTGGGTCCTGGCCACAGCGCTGGTGGTTCATTGCTACAGCAAGAGTCCGTCCAACAAGGGTGATTATGAGATCTGGGTTTGAGAAAGGGAGAGGCGGGAAGATTGTCCTAACTTCTTATCTTAGGAGGGTGGGAGGTACTTACAGATTTAGATCTGTAGAGCCCAAGTCTTGGAGGGACTCAGACATCATCTGGTTACAGGGGCAGGGTGTTGCCCTGGAGAGCTCATCATCTCGGAGTTGTATAATCTCCTATCATAGGTCCGCCTCCCCTCTCTGGGCATCATGTTATCCATCTGTTCAATGGGATACTGGACTAAACATCTATTATAGCATGGTCCCCTTATGTTTCTGATATTCTGCTTGGTCCAATTCCTCTTTCCTGAGATCTCCAGGAAGCAGAAACTGTGGGGTGTTTTAAGGGCAACCGCTAGATGGTTTAGAGAAGTTGCCACCTCCCACCCCCGCCCACCAGAGGTGCTAGAGTCAGGAAGAACCTGACTTGGATCTAATGCCAGCTTGACCTCAGTTTCTTTATATAGTGAAGGATAATTTCTCAACATTTTTACAATACTGCTATTTTGACCCCTTTTGGGTTCAGCTGCCTGAGTCTGTCAGTCTCAGGATTTTGCTGTGTCTCATCTCACATGCTGTGAGATAGTCTTGCCATGTGGGATAGTTGGCAGGAGGGGGAGGTTGGATTCCTGGAGGCCGAAGGCCAACTGTCGGGGGGATGGCTGATCCCGATTAGCATCTCATCTGGATGCATGGAGCTGAGCAGCCACTGAGAGAGGGGACAGAGGGGACTTAGGACCTGTATGAGTCCAGCCATTCAGGTTCTTAGTCGTTTCTCAAGAGGAAAGACTGAGGCCTGGTGTCCATGGATTCCATGCATCTGAAGCTCTGAGTATTTGGAGCAAGAGTTGGGGGAGTGGGGAGTGCCTTAACTTTCATTCATTTGATGTGGCCAGGTGTAAAGGAAGGACTTTGGTCTGGGAGAGACAACACTGGGGATCTTGTTTTGGTTCTGTGTCTAACTCCCACTGTGAATTTGGACTTTTGCTTTTCCTCACTGGTCCTCATCTACAAAATGAGGGTGTTGAGGATGACACTAAGGGCATCTGGTTTAGGCATGCCGTAATCCTCTCACCTTCAGTGTTTCTGTGGGGTACCCTCTGTTTGTTTGGTTTTAGGCTAGGTGTGCGGGAAGTCCTAACAACACAAAATCAGTCAAGGGGACAGTGCAGGCAGTTGGAATGCAGGGCTGGTGAGTGGTGCTATGTGTTTTTGGGGGATCAGAGGGCCAGTGGGGTGAGGAAAGCCTTCCAGTAGTGTTGGGGGCCCACAGAGGATGGGATATTCGAACTTAAGTTCTGAAGGATGAAAAGGAGAGTGACCTTGTGAGCCCCAAGAGAACAGGAAATAGATGTTCTCTCTCTCTCTTCCCCCCCACCCCGCCCCAGGTTATACTAGCAACTTCCCTTATACCTAGACATCATTTGCCCACCACAGTGTCTGGAACTTAGTAGATGCCTAGTAAATGTGTGAGAGTTGGATTATATTCTATGCAAAGGCTTCAGGGATGGGAATAACAGTTTCAGGGCACCATGGTGTGTGCAGGGGCTAGCAGAGTGGCCAGCTTGGTTGGAGGATAAGGTCTTTGGAATTAGATGAGAACAGATGGAGTGGGGCCTGGATGCCAGTCAGGGGTGGAGTGGATGAAGGTGTTGGAATTTCTTCTGTAGGCAGTGGAGAGAAATGGAAGGTTCATGAGTAGGGAATGTTGAGTCCAGTGTATTTGGTGAGGTCTTGCCTAAGAAGTTCCTGGGGGTTCCAAATTGGACTTTGTAGCCTGAACTCCGGCAAGAATACCAGGGTCTATTTACCAAAATAGGTAATGGTCAAAACCGTGACCAGTTCTTGCTGGAATTGACTTGCCAATTACCCTGACCCCTGATTTAGAGTTTTGACCTGAGGCCCTCAGTGCAGTGTGGTAGAAACTGAACCCTTTCAGAAGCCAGGAGGCCCTGCCTGGTTCTTAGCTCCTTCCTACTCTGTAACCTTGCAGAAGCCACATTTTTTCTTGCGGAGTGAGGGAAGAGTGGACACAGCCATCTCTAAGGAAGGCTTGATTCCCCTCCCAGCTGGTGGCTGTCTGAGCCATGCTTGGGTATGTGCTTTGGGTACAATCTGGTAAAGTAATTAGAAAGGGCCTGTTACTGGAATCTAGGCCAGGAGGATGCCTGAACCACAGGACTGCCTTTCATATGCATGATAAGGTGGGTTTCATCTCTGTTGTACAGATAAGGAAACTAAGGCTCAGGAGGTTAGATGAGTGGGCTAGGTCATACAGCAAATAAGCAACAGAGCTGGGCTGGAGCCCAGGTCTCACCGTCTCCAGATCCTGCTCTTTCACCCTACTCCAGTACATTTGCTCACGGGTAAGTCTGTTGGCTCAAGTGAGAGTTCCCTGAGTCAGGAATGACTATGAGTCCATCCAGTGCCCAGCAGTGCAGCTCACAACCGGGCTGGGCACAGAGGGCTCCATGTACTTGGTTTTGAGCTATTTGAAAAGCCTTCTTGACTTTGAGGTTTTTCTGAGTCAGTCCAATTTTCTTTATGGCCGCAAGGTGGTGGCAACAGGCTGCCCAGACCAGGCCAGGCTGATGGAGCTCTCATTGCTTTCCTCCTAGGCTTGCTGTTTCCTAACCAGACCCTCTGCTTGGGTCTCCCTTCCCTGGGCTTAGCACTGCGGGGTTTGCAGACGTCTCAACTGTCATTTCATCTCTTTGACATCCTTGAGAGGCTGGCAGGGCAAGGGTCTCTGTTTTACAGTCAGGGAAGCTGTGGGTGAGAGGGAGAGGAGCTGCCGTGGTCACATGGTGGGTAGTGAGCATGGAATGGAGCCAGATCTCAAAGACTCCTAGTTGAGGCCCTCTCCATCCCCAGACAGCCCTGCACCCTGCTTGCCTCCCTCATTCTACCTTTCCCTTTGGGTTTATGACCTTTCACATCAACATTCAGAAGTGGTTTGAAGAACTAGAGTTGAGGGAGAAAGTGGACAAGGTCAGGGAATGGCTAACAATAACTTTTACAGGAACATAAAGCATATTATGCAGAGCTTCATAGATTATGAAGAGCACATCGGTTATCACAAGCAAGACACAGTGCCAGCAGCTGTGCTGCACTCCTTGTATGATTAGAGAGTTACGAGTTTGTAGTAGCAAGGTGTGGAAGTCAGGTGGTTAACAGTGGACACCACGTGGGGTGGGAATGATTAGCTTTCTTGTTATGTATTGTGGCATCAGTTTGCTTGTTAAAGTCCATGTTTCTAAAGCACTGCCACTGTCTTAGTGGGCCCTCCACGCAGTCCTGACGCGGGTATGTCCTGGCCAGGGATCTGACCAGTGCCCCCTTTCTCTTCAGATGCAGCCCTGATGGAAGCTGCCCGTGCCAACAATCCACAAGAAGTCAGCAGGTGAGTTGAACCCCAGGCCTTGCTCTCCCCACAGGAGGGACTGAGCAGGGCGAGCCTCTTCTCATTTGATGACTGCTTTGGAGGAAATCCTCACCCTAAGTTGGGAACTGTCCCCTGTGACTTCCCTGTTAGTCACAGAGTCACCTGGGCTCCTCTGACCCGGATCAACCCTTAGGTACTTTAGGTAGGGAGTCAGCTCCCAAACATCCCTGGATCTTTCAGCTATTTTGTTCTTCACTGGATTGGTTTGGACTCTCCCCGACCCCCATATCTTGTGGGTTCTTCTCTGAATCTTGTGATTTGTTCTCATTTCTTTGGGAATGGCCATGTGTTCGTTATTGCTTGCTGCCTGGACAGGTTGCAGGTGGGCATCCATGGAAAAGCTTGGGGATTTGGGACAGAGCTGGAAGAGCCCATCTGCCAGGAGGCCTGGGGCTAGAAATGCCTGCCTGCAGGGCTAGGTGCCCATGCTGGGCCCAGCCCAGGGGCAGACTGCATTTCTGTAGCCTCACTGGCTTGGCTAGTCCCAGTGACTACTGGCAGGTTGAATTTGAGGCTTATTTTTCAGCAAGGGCAAGATTCAGCTGAGCTCAGTCTAGTGCCAGGTATAGGGCAGAGTCTGTGTTCAGGATGGATGCTCAGACTGGGGCTAGCATGGGGCATCAGTTACAGGGCTGTTGTTTAAGGACATAGGTCTTATTCTTGGTGAAATTACTGGCCTCCACTGGGCCTAACCTTGGCCTCTCTTGGCCCTTTACATAGAGCTAGGTGACCATAGGACACCACTCTTCATCGCCATCATGTCTGCATGTTAGACAGGAAGTCAGGTGTGGGGGTGGCTATTTCTGCACCCAGTGCTACAGGCCCTTGGTGCTCTTCCCCACTCTAGCTTTCCGAACATACAAGAAAGTGTTGAAAAGCAGCCACAGCCCCACCAAGACTTACTACTTTGATTCCCTTTCATTTTATCTGCAGCATTATTATTGATTCTCAAGGGTGCTTTTGAGTATTAATGTTCAAGCTTTAGTTTTTAATAAACCACTTTTAGAAGTATGGTCTGGGAGTTGTTTTGTAGCCAAATAAATATGATGGAGTAATAGTTTAATAAACATGCAGTGATGCATCTTAAAAACCAAGCACAAATGTCATCTTATTATAAGAGCCATTCATAACCGCAGGCTGTGTGTGGCATCTTCATTCCTCCAGAAGCAGATGTGCCTTGCTCCATTCTGCTGCAGTACAAGGCAGTAAGGGGATGGAAGCTGACCCTTGCTGACCCTGGAATCACCTGGTGGCTACTGCCAACAGCTGCCAGGCTGCGGCCTTCCCCTTTTGCCAGTGCATTTGCAGAGCAGCAATGTTGGGAATCTACTCTTCCATCCCCCAGGGATGCCACTGCCCTATTCCATTGAGCTGCCAAGCATTGATTATTTAGTTCTTTCAAATACATGTTTTTCTAATAGCAATTAAACACCCACCCCCAAAATACAGAAAGTAGTTGAACTTATGGTGCGTGTGTGTGATTCAGACAATTTTTCTGAACATTCGTTCTTGTATGGGGCCTTTCATGTGTGTTCCCAGGCTCTAGCCTGCTTTTCTCCTGCCTTCTCTTGTCCCACTCACTTGGTCAGGTTGACCTCCTCAGAATCTCCCTTCACTCCATGTGAGGAAGTCAGAGATGAGCAAGGCACAGACCTGCCTTTAGCCCCATCTCATACAGGACATAGAGCCGGGAGCAAGCTGAGCAAAGGTGGGAAGCAGATGCTGGTTGGCTGCTCAGTGTGGGGAACATGTTGTTGCTCCCAAGGTGGGACTTGTACAGGGTGTCAGGAAAGAGGGAAGGTGGTCTGAGAAGTGCTGGAATGTGCAAGGCCTGCCATGCCCAGGGTGAGGAGTTTTGAACTCTTATTCCATACACAGTGGGGAGATGTGGGAAGTTTTTGAGCAAGGGCATGACCCAGGTAAGGCTGACTTGCAGATGAGTGAAGGATGGACTGCATTGGGAAAAGACTGAGGGCCGATCTATTAAGAACCTGTTTCAGTTTCAGTAAGACAGATTCAAGATGATGAAGGCCTGAATGAGCATATCCTTCCCTCCCCCTCACCCAAAGCCATTCTTGATTATGAAAGAATGACTGGGCCTCTGCTGGGCACTGCAGATGGGGGATGGGGATGGTGATGCAGGCCCTGGTCTCAAGGAAACAGACGTGTAGCCCACCAGTTGTAGTTCTTCCTGCAAATGAGCCAGGCCTTGGGGCAGTGGGGACAAAGGGAGCCTGACCATCCTTGCTAGAAGGAAACTCTGGAATTCCTACAGCAGATCCTAATTCAGCCTTTCTGTACCCTAGACTCTGCACAGGTGGTTCATGCTGCTCTTTGTTTCTTCCTCTGTGTCCTGGCTCTTAGCTCTGCCCAACAGACCTGTCTATAATAGGATAGAATCCCACACTCAATATGTATATATTTTTAATTTACACATACAGTCATGCATTGCTTAACAATAGGGACACATTCTGAGAAGTGCAATGTCATGACTGTGTGAAGATCATAGAGTATACTTACCCAAACCTAAATGGTAATAGCCTACCACACACCTAATCTGTACCGTATGGCCTGTTGCTCCTAGGCTAGGAATCTGTATAGCACAGTGTTGTCCTGAACACTATAGGCAGTTGTAACACAATGGTAAGTATTTGTGTATCTAGACATATCTAAATACAGAAAAGGTAATTTGTGATATTGAGACGGCTACAACATCACAAGGGGATAGGAACTTTTCAGCTTCATTCTAGTCTTACAGGATAACCTCATACTTGCAGTCTGTTGTTAGCCAACATGTCATTGTGTAGCACGTGACTATACCTTATGATTGGTACAGTCAAAGATATCAGTATTTAGAACAAAACTCAGACCTCATAAATAATATTGCCCTTCCTACAACAAAGCCACAAAACCGGCCAAACAAACAAAAATAATAATAATAATAATATTGTCTTTTACCCTTCTCCCCTTGACCTCTCTGGGGCTCTGTACTATGCCTGTCTCTACTTGCCCTCCCCCAGCTCTTGTCCTTAGCCCCAGAGCCTTGGGAAAGTTCCCGATAGTGAAAGGCAAGCAGCCTGAGGCTCTTCTGCTTGAGGGGGCAGTGCTTGATCCTCCCTTTTTTTTTTTTTTTTTTAAGAGACGGGGTTTCACCATGTTAGCCAGACAGGTTTCAATTTCCTGATCTCTTGATCTGCCTCCCAAAGTGCTGGGATTACAGGCCTGAGCCACCATGCCCAGCCGTGATCCTCCTTTTTCACACCCTGGAATCTTCAGTCCATGGGCCCTGGATGCGAGTCCTCCACACCAGCAGCCCTCTGCCCTCTGTATTCATTATCCTCCACTTATACCTTTCAAAGCTCAAGTAGTGCTTCCCTTACAGAGCCTTCCTGGATTCCTCCCAGCTGGATGTGATCTTGTCTTCTTTGCCCCTCCCCCCACTTTCATCCTACACCTTCCTTCTGGTCTGGGAGGGTACAAGGGTCATCTAGGAAGGGCCAATGCCAGCTTGTCACAGGAGGGGACTTCTTTTTTGGAAGAGAAGTTGGAGGTCAGGTTGGAAAAGTAGGCCTGAATGCCACTTGCCACACTTTGTTCTTTATATTAAGAAGTTTGTGGACTAGATTTCATCTAGCCTGTGCGTACCTGAAGTAAGCGGTCCAGAGTCCACTTTCACACCCCCTCTTGGCTATATCAGAGGGAGGCCGGGACTCCTCTTTCCTCTCTCCCTCCCTCCCTCCCATGTGGAATCCATTTCCTCCCTTCTCCCCTGAGGCACTTAAGTTCATTCATCTCTGGCTCCTGGGAAGTGGAAGCCTGGCCTCTCTCTTACCTGTCAGCAGTGTGAGCAGGTGGCCCTGTTCCTGGGCTTAGCTCAGAACTGAGCCTGGCTTCTGGACTCAGGAACTGCTCACCCGAAACCTAGGGCACAAGACAGACTGGAGGCACATCTGTCCAGGCTCAGACTGAGACTTGTGAGGAGCTGTCAGGACTGGGAAAAGAGGCCTCTTGTTCTCTCAGCAGAGATCACATTTCCTTCAGGACAAACTGGGTGAAAGACAGCACCCCTACCTGGCTCCTTTCTCTCAACAGGGGGTAGGCTCTGCTGAGTGCTTACCTCAGTTGTTCATCAGCTCAAGCCCTCTCTAATAAAGGAAGCCTGGTGAGATCCATCTTGGGCCTCATTCTACCTGCCCTTTTTCTCCGGGATTTATTTGTTCATTTGACAAAGAGCACCTACCGTATCCTGATTCCTCTGCTTGGCACAGGGAACACTAGCAGGCATGATTCCTGCCCGTGATAACAGAGTTGGGAGTAAACTGTGGCAACAGGTGGTCAGTGCTGTGAGACAGGAAACTACAGGGGCTGCAGGACCTCAGAGGACAAACAGCCTGGGGGAATCTGGGAAAGCTTCTAGAGGAAATGGCACCTGGTCATAGACTTAAAATATCAGCTGGGCTTCGTAAATAGAAAGGGAAGGCATTCCAGGCAAAAAGGGGGACTGATGTGGTAGCACAAGGCAAAGAGCAGCCTGCAGGGTATTTGGGAGGGGAAGTCACCTGCTGTTCAGTGTTGCTGGATCAGTCTGAGGCCAGGAGAGACTGGAGATTGGTAGGGACCTGGTCGTGAAGAAGACTGACTGACTCTCTGTTTATCCCTCAGTCGCCTATCCAGCCTGTGCCTATTCAGCCTAGCCCTGAGCTGAATTTGGAGGAGGGAGGGTGGCAACAAAATGAGGAAGGAGAAACAGTCCCTGCCCTGGAGGAGCCTGTGTGCCCTCTGGTGAGGAAGAAGGACATGAGACAAAATCTTGAGAGCCAGCAAAACAAGGGACAAATTACCTACCTTCCAAGTAATGTGAAGATGATAACACCTAAGCCCAAAGAGTGGCAGACTTATTATTACTAATAACACAATGATTAATTCATTCGACCAGTACTTACGGTGCATCTTCGGAG